CAAGTCACCTCAATTCTCTGAGTCTCAATGTCCTGGAATATAGAATGTGGAGGTTAGAGTAACATTACTGATAATGATAATGAGGAGGAGGAGGAGGAGAAAAAGAAAGAGGAAGAAGAGTAGTAGGCTGGATTTCTATAGCACTTTCAGGCTTACAAAAGGCTTTCCTCACAAAAACCTTGGAATGTAGGTAGTGTGAATATCATTATCCCCATTTTACAAATGGAGAGATAAATCATTGTGAGACTCAGTTTCCTCATATGTAAAATGAGGATAATATTTGCACTATCTACCTCACAAAGCTGTTGGGAAAGTTATTGTTTTGTGAACCTTAAAAAACTAAAGGTGTCACTATTACTGAAGTGTCTTTGAACACCTGTCCTTAAAATAGCCCTCCAAAACACATATAACAAATATCTTAGTCCTGTTTTATAGATGAGGAAACTGAGGCCTAGGGGAAGAGAAATGACTTGTCCAAGGTCACACTGATAATAAGCAGGACTAAGCTGCCTGACTCTGAATCAGTTTTCTTTCCACCACACTAAGATGACTCTTTTAATGGACCTATTAATTAGGTAGCATACCAAAGAAACCAAAGAAGGACTTATTTTGATTATCAGTAGTAGAAGTCAGCCCAGCTCTAGTTTGATAACTACATGTCTTTGTAAGGCAGCTTGATTCACTAGAGGGGGGAAAGTAACCTTGGTTGGTTCCTTTGAGCTTGAAGAGAGATGGCCATTGAAACATGTCTTTTTAGGATAGTTAGAAGAGTTTTTCTATGCAGCTTAAGAGCCCTTTCTTTCAAAGTAAAGACTACAGTCCTCCTAAAAGGCCTGTGTTCCCCTCTCTGGTACTAATGCTATTCTACATTTTTTTTGGAGGTGATGGGGTTAAATGACTTGCACAGGGTCACACAGATAGTAAATGTCTGAGGTCAGATTTGAACTCAGCTCACCTGACTCTAGTGCCAGTGCTCTCTCCACTGTGCCACCTAGCTGCCCTTATTCTATCATTCTTTCTGCTCCTCTCTAGGCCACAATTCCTTCTTCCATAAAATCTTCATTTTGCAGATTATTGGACTCAGGAATCTATAAGGACCCTTCTCAATCTGATATTCTGCGTTCTAGAGGCCAGGTGGTATGCTGAAAGGAGCACTAGATGTGAAGTCCAATAACCTCAGTGACTGTTTTGGTCCTGACACTAATTAGTATAATTAATCCTATGTCCGTGTGAACTATTGGAGTATTCCATATTTTAAGGTCCCTCTAACTCTAACATTATTCTTTTCATATTTTAAAGTCCCTTCCAGCTTTAAAATTCTATACTAGATGTTCTAAAGCCCCATGAAATTCCAACATTCTTTGCTGTGGTGGCTCTTGTCAATACATAGTTCTTAATTCTAGGGCTTTATATCTTAAAATATCTGGAACAATGGCTATTGTTTCCTGTGACTTGCATTCCTCGTTACTTCCTCCTCCCACTGGACACCACATCCCTGAAGTAGACACTTCTTTTAAAACCTGTTTCCTAAAACTAAGGAATTCTTTCCCAGTCTCTTTTCCTCAGCCGTAGTTCTGCTCTCTAGATCAGTCAAATACTGTAAATGTATAGGCCTTTGGATGAGCAGGTTGGAGGAATTAAAAAGAAAAAACAGGTGGTCAAGGGAGGTGGGGCAGGTGGGGTGAGGAGGGTGGCTTTTAGAGAAAAAGGAGTTGAATCATCAGCAAAACCATTAGAGCTAATGCAATCTACTGTAAAAATAGGAATTAGAATCAATGCTAGGGCTTCTGATGCCCGGAGGGGCCATGGGCAGGTTTCTCTTGCCACCTTTGCAGCAAAGATTTTGAAGTTCCTATTTGAGGGAAATGGATTTTTGTGATTTAAAAACAACAGCTTTAAAAGGGTCCCGGATATGCTGATGATGTGGTTAATCACTGATTCAGAGCTATGTGCAATGACTCCCGGAACCCTTAGTGAGCTGTGCCAGGGGCCTTGGACAAGAGAGAGACAGAGAGAGAGAGACAGAGAGAGAGACAGAGAGGAAGGAATGGAGAAAGAAAGAGAGAAAGAAAGAGAGAAAAAGAAAGAGAAAGAAAGAAAGAAAGAAAGAAAGAAAGAAAGAAAGAAAGAAAGA